CGTGCCAGCAAAAGTTACTGGTGTGCCATGTTTGGCACGCGTGCCAGGGGTTGCCCACCCCTGCCCTAGACCCTGCTGTAGGATCCAGGACAGAGCAGTTTGGGGTGACTTGGGACTGACTTAGCTTAGCATTTCACTAGAATCAGAGGGCCTGCGAAGGCGTAGTGACACTTCACTGGGGCATCTGTACCCTTTTCGCATTGTTGGCCAACACTGGCCATTTTTCCTTTTTCCTCTTAACCACCCAGTGCCTTGCGCAGTGGGCATGGCAGAGATCTGGGGGAACTGGGGCCAACAACACGAAGCATCTAGACATGACCCCAATGTTATTCCTAGGAAAGGGGAGGGGTGCACGTGAAGTCTGGTGCAAAGAACTGAATGAAGTCTAGCAGCAAGAGACTTACCACCTAGTTCTAGTTTCACCACTAATTTGAGTCTCAAACAGTCTTCTGCCCCTTGGTTTCATTTCAGCTGCCCCATCTGCCTGAATGAAGTCTAGCAGCAAGAGACTTACCACCTAGTTCCAGTTTCAACATGAATTTGAGTCTCAGTCTTCTGCCCCTTGGTTTCATTTCAGGCTGCCCCATCTGCCTTCGAGGGACAACCTAGGGATGAAATAGCAGATGATAAGAGCATCAGAAAAAATTAAAATATAATATAAATGTACATTTTTCTCATAAGTCTGACATCTGAAGTTAAAATGATTGAATTTACCTTAGCATGTTCATCATTGGCTGAACATTTCTCTACCCTTGCAAGGATAACTGCCAATCAGAGTCCCTTTTATGCCCTGACACCCCCATCTTTTACCGGGTGCTGGGAGGACACAGAGCTTTTGCTGGCTAGGTATTTCTCAGGGAATGCTCTCATCCTGTCCCTCATGCTCTATCTTGCATCTGTCTCCTACCCTGCAGGTTGGTGGCAGACTGATTGTCCATGTCGAAGAGCTGGCCCAAATGTGGAAGGTGCTGAGTCTCCCAACAGAACTGTTTAATAGTGTGATGAATGTGGGCCGCTTCACGGAGGAGATTGAGTGGCTGAAGTTTTTAGCCCTTGCTTGCAGCTCTCTTGGTGTTGTAAGTTAGCTTTAATGCTTTTTTTGTCCTTAAGGGAAAGCCTCTCTTTTGGGCCTGAACAGGCAATACATCTGTGCACACAGTCTGGTGATGAGCATGCCTCCTCTTGTCCACCCCCTTGCCTGTCCGAACTAGTCACTTGCTGGCTCATTAGCCAGAAGCAGGGGTTAGGAGGAAAAAGGGAGGAAAATTGTCACCAGTCTCTTGGGAGAGGTTGACTAAAATGTGGCTTTTGGATTATTTATGAATTTCAATCCTTGCACTTGGATTTATTTCCATCACCACTTTACTCCCTCCATTCATATTCCTAGAGATAACAAAGACCCAGCTGGGGAATCAGGTTTGCTTACACTTAGGTTCCAGTCACCTAGAAGATATACACGAGAGACTTTTAAAAAGAGGTGCAACTTTATATAAAACTATTTGATAAGCATCATTGGATAAAAAATCAGAAATAAGAGAGCAGGAAAGGAAAAATGAGGCTGTGTCTATACTTATAGTCATGATATCATCATGGGTGCAATATGCTCATACAAATGTATGCCTTCTCCAAATTTCACTTGGTTTACAATTGGAAAAGCCATTTTCCTGTTTTAAAGAAGAAGATACTGCAACCAGTTCATATATATATATATATACATATATATATATATATGTATGTGTGTATATGTATGTGTG